GAGGACTTGGAGAAACGATGGCAAGAATTTATTGCGCGTGCTGAAAAGTATAATTTTACACTATCACTCCTCAGTCAATTCTATGAATATTGCAATGAGGTTAGTTGAGCAATTTCCAACATCTACTGAGTCTAAATCTCTTAGATACTTATGACTGTACTCGATAAATGCAACATAATTTTAAATTATGGTGATCTTATTAAAGTTATAGTATATTATATCTTGAGTGTCCTATATTGCTGTTAAGATAGAGTACTAGCATAGAGTTAGGAAGATATCCTGGTTTCACTTTGTAATTCGAGATGTGAATTTTAGGATGATTACCGTTAGTGTTTATACAAACGATATTAGTGTCGATAATAGTTTTGTTAAATCAACTATTACGTAGTGCAGGAACTAATGTCAATCCTTTTTTACGCAAATTGTAAACTTTCTAAATCGATATTTACTCTCTTGACTGGTTAACTTTGGTAGGGAGATAAATGGATAAGAGATACTAAAAAAATGATTGATGATTTTGGAGATAAAATCCCCAAAAGGCCTGGTCGAATTGAAGCTACCAAGATGCTAACAGAATTGATGAATAGAATTCAAACTGAAGAGATTGAAACATTGTTCATAGATATTGAAATTTTGGCCAAATATGTTGATGTTAAACCGGCTACTGACAAAGCAGGTACACTGTCAAAGAGATATAACGAAATTAAGCGAGATGGTGATAATTTACGACAGCAATTGGAACTCTTAAAGGAAGGGAAAATTAGAGGGCTATGGAAACTAACATCAGCTGCTAAAAATAAGGTCAGTAAATGGCTATGGTATTCTTTACATACAGTAGACTGATTTTACCCCAATATGATGATAGCATGTTTAACTTGACATCCTAACATTGGCGTTTTACAGGCAAACGCGATAGAAGATCAGGATGCAGATGCAAACAATGAGGATATTCCAAAACGTGAGAGATCTCCATCCAATGCTGTAAAAGATTTATTGGAAGCAGATCCTGCCTTTAAATCACCCAAAATGATAAGGAAGCGGCCTGGTCGAAAAGGGCGCTCTCTGCCAACGATATCTGAGACAGAAAGGAAAAATCTAGCTGAAAAGATCGGCCCGGGAGGAAAGAAATTGCGAAGGATTGCCTCTGATTCTCTAAATAATTCTCGCAATTCTAACCCTGGTAATTCACCTAAAATCGATATCAGCAACAACACTATTCCGGAGGTAGATGATGTCGATGGTGCTGAAAAGGAAGCTCCAAAGTTTGTAAAGCCACCACCACGTATTTCATCATCGTCGCTCAATAAAACTTCAGCTAGTAAGCCATCCGATGATCAACCAGATTCGCCGAGAAGATCAATCATTAATACCAACGGAAGAAGTTCATCGAATCTCAAATCACCTACAAGCTGGAATTCATCGCCCTCTACGTCGCTTGGTAGTCTGCCAGAATCGAGTCAAAAATCTTCGCCGGCCACATCCGTTAGTAGTAAACCACAAACCGATTTAAGAACAAATCGTCGAGTTTCATCATCTACAATGATCAGCCCTAGGTCTGAAACAAACGATAAACCAAATCAGAGATTTTCACGTTTGACATCGAATAATGCACCAGAAGATGACAAACCAAGCCAGAAACTATCGCGTCTGGCATCCAACAATGCATCAACAGATGATAAACCAAGCCAGAGAGCATCGCGTTTAATATCCAGTAATATATCAGCAGATGACAAACCGAGCCAGAGAGCATCGCGTTTAACATCCAGTAATGCATCAGCAGATGACAAACTAAGTCAAAGGCCATCGCGCTTAACATCCAGCAATACATCAGCATCAGCAGATGATAAACCAAGCCAGAGGTCATTGCGTTTAACATCCAGCAAATCATCAACAGATGATAAACCAAACCAGAAACCATCGCGCCTGATATCGAGTAATGGATCAGCAGATGATAAACCGAGCCAGAGACCTTCACGTATTTCATCAAGTAATGCATCGGATAGTAAATCAAGCCAGAAACCTTCACGCTTTCCATCAAGTAATGCATCAGATGATAAACCAAGCCAGAGACCTTCACGTTTTTCATCAAGTAATGCATCGGATAATAATTCAAGCCAGACGCCTTCACGTTTTTCATCAAGTAATGCATCAGATGATAAACCAAGTCAGAGACCTTCACGTTTTTCATCAAGTATTGCATTGGATAGTAAATCAAGCCAGAGACCTTCACCCTCTCCATCAAGTAATGCATCAGATGATAAACCAAGCCAGAGACCTTCACGTTTTTCATCAAGTATTGCATCGGATAGTAAATCAAGCCAGAGACCTTCACGCTCTCCATCAAGTAATGCATCAGATGATAAGCCAAGCCAGAGACCTTCACGTTTTTCATCAAGTAAAGCATCAGATGATAAACCAAGCCAGAGACCTTCACGTTTTTCATCAAGTAATTCATCAAATGATAAACCAAACACGAGACCTTTGCGCTTGACATCTAGCAAATCATCGTCGGAGGATAAGCCGAGCCCGTCCCCTACCAGTATTGAATCCAATGGTAATAAATCTACGAAAAGATCATCGCCTGTATCAGTTAGTAGTCGATCTCAGGTAGATGGTAATCTAGTTAAGAATTCGCCATCGATCCCTATGCGTATCGCAAGCTCATCTACAAATCGTAATTCATTGTCGTCTGCACCTAATTCACAAAAGAATAATGATAACATTAGAAAACCTCCGGCACGAACTGTCTCTAATGGTAGAATGAACAATGTTAATGCAACGTCTAAGCCCGTAACGCCAAACGCTAGTAATGAACCCCCTCGAAGGACGCCAATCACAAATAGTCGAAGAACAAGCGATAACAATCCTCCTGTTAGAAAATCATCGAATAGTGTACAAATTAAGAGAACACCATCGACGACATCGCCTGTATCTCCAGTTGCTCCCACCAGATCGGCACAAAATTCAACATCAAGGAATACTAATAACTCCGATCCAAATAAACGCAGGGTATCCGTAACAGCAAGGTCAAGGATTTCATCAAGCGATTAGCCATAGGCTAAACCAATAATTTACTACATAAATATTATTAATCGATACTATCACTAGCAAATTGTTTTTATCTATCGGTATGATAAGATATCTAGTAGTAATAGTGTATGAGAAAACAATATTTTTTATGGTAAACACATAACAAGCGAATCGGCTTCGAAAATTACAATATTAGCATCTCTTTATATATGAATTCAATCAATCTTGATCCTATTTTTTATGAAGTTAGGAAACTCTAAATAGCTATTTTTTTAATGTGTGATAAACCTATTTTTATTTAATGGTTGCAACGAATAGAAATTATAAGACCTATTTCTGTATACAAGTTTGTATATTACGAAATCATGATATCGCTAATTGTATTGCAGTTAATCCTCACACTAATACAGTAAATGCTGATGGCTGTAAAAATTGTTTACTAGATAACAGCATAATAAAACTGTATTATTACAGATTTTTGCAATAAAAATCTCTATTTAGCTAATAACTCTGCAACGCGGTCAGCAATAATTTCTACCTGATCTTGCCTTTTAGTGCTTTTCTACTACAAATCAAGAAAACAACTATTACATTACTATTGATAGCACAAGCCAATGTTTGGATTGATGTAAGAACTTCCTCAACCTAGTCGTAGTGATACGAGGTTAATATCTAAGATTAGGCTACCACCTTTTTGGTCTTATATACCATCTCTTATACTTTCATTCAATTACGATTATCATTTAGTTTTGTTATACTTCTCATCGACGTAGTGAATGCACTAAAGCTGAAGGTAAGAGTTAATTGGAGTTTGATTTTGGGTGCTATCAACAATTCTAAACAAGCGATTGTTTATTAGTCATAACTAGTCATTAATTTTCGTTCATTAATCGGCTAGCCAATACATAGCTTGAAAAGTAAACTTAATACTTAAAATTTCTTAAAGGATTGTCAAATCCAAAAATTAATACAGGCCATCATTAATACTAAAATATAGCTTTATTAACAGTGATATCAATAAAATATGGCAAAAATTGCATATTATGTATCTGTAAATAATTATATTAGGTGCCTTTATTATATTTCAGTATAATTGAGAAATAAATGACACTATATACACGTATAGGCAATCTATAGTACATTAGCCATTTTAGATTGGTGGATACTCTCATTACTTTACATAAAAGGATATAAACAGGAATAGAAATGTTTCGTTAGCTAGAAATGATTTAATATATGTAAATTTATCAGTAAATGCAAAGATATCAAATTATTAATGAATAAAAGCAGTTAGAATAAGATTCACATGGAAAAAGAGGGAAAGTTTTTAATTTTTCGCCAAAAAATACTTTTACATAGTCCTGTAACCTCTTTAATTAGTTGTATGGCAGTTAATTTAGTAAGTAGGTGTAGCCTTTCCATTTACGATAAATTAAACGCTTGCTAACACAATAACCGGGTAAGTAACTATCACTAGTACGTTAAATCTCCTTTTACATATAAATTATATATTCTCTCCAATCTTTAAATTATTTAATATTAATTATAATTATAGAAGTTTCTAAATAGAAGGGAGGAATATTAAAACAGGCTTACATGAATAAATAGTGGTGTGCTGCCCCGTATTAAGATACAGCATAGTAACCCATTAAAGCATTATATAGAGTAACAGTTTGTTAGGCATGAAAGTATATAAGATATGCCTTCATCATACCACTATACAGCTTTGAAGTTAAATAATACTTCGATGGTTAAACTAAGTTAATAAAGTTTACATCAAGTTGCGATCGATCATCTAGCATAACTATGAGAATAAAGTCATTAATCGTTAGAGCAACTGAATAAAAGAATATTATTGGAAAGTATTCACAACAAGATTAAATGCTCTAGAACAGTATTATTAGTTAAATGGCTATTTCCTACGTTCTTACTCCAATAAGACAGTTAAAGCTTTAAAGCAACTGAGTATTCTACCTCTCTTTAATGCCTAAAGTTACCCCATTCGATGCAGATAACGTTATTTTAGGCTCAATTCGTAAGGGAATTTCAGTTTCTTGTACTGGTTCGAACATCATATCTTGTAACACCTTCACCAATGCCATTTTAGCTTCCATAATTGCTAATCTCATTCCAATACAATTTCTAGGACCGTTGCCAAATGGAAGATGAGCAAATGGATGACGTTTAGCTTTTTCTTCTGGTGTAAATCGTTCTGGTATAAATTTTTTTGGATCTGGCCACAACTTTTCGTTATGATGGATACCATAAATTGGTATTGCAGCGACTACATCTTTTGGTATCAAGACACCACCGATCACAATGTCATTTTTCGCAATTCTGTTTACAATATATGCTGGGGGATATATACGTAATGACTCGCTCAATACCATGTCTAGATATGGTAAACTGGAGACTAATTCAGAAGTGACCGTTGTGCCTTTTGGGCATTTTTCGTCAATTTCGTCAAGAAGACGTTGCTGGACATCTGGATTCAGAGCTAATAGGTAAGATGTATAAGCCAATGCACTAGCCGTTGTTTCATAACCAGCCAATAAAAAGATAAAAGACTGACTAATGATTTCTTCATCAGTTAATTTACCATTTTGACCAGCTTCGACTAATAACTGCAGTAAATCGCGGCGATTTGTTAGACCTTGTTGTAAACTTTGACGCCTTTCTGCAATAATAGCTCTGCTAACACTGGCAATGTGATGAACGGAGTTTACTCTAGTTCGCATAAATTTACTGATATACGGATAAAGAGAAGGCATTATTGCACCTAAAGCCATCGCTAGATTTGAAGTACTAAAAAAACTAGCCGCTTGTTGTCTGATCTCCTGGCCCCTGACATCTGCAGTGACATGTACACCAAATGCAGTTGCCATAATAACTTCCATACTATATTCGCCATAAATTTTCCAAATGTTCGCTTTTCCTTGCTGCTTGTTTAAATTCATTAATTTATCGAATAAACTATCGCATGCACTGCTAATAATAGATTCTATTTGCTTCAATTTAGCAGCGCTAAACGTTGGTATGAGCACATTCCGAACGCGTTTCCAGTCATCATCTGTGATTGCTAGGAGATTCTTGTGAAATGGTGGAGTAGGTGGTATAATAGGGAAGCGATTCGTGAAATTACTAAAATGCTTAACCATAATATCTTTTACCATCGGCAAATCGGATATAACCATTACAGGCCTCCTGCCAAATAGAAGACCGTACACTTTACCATATTTCTTAATGCAGTTAATTTGCTTCGATTCTTTACTGAATGCACTTCCAATCAAAATATAAGGTTTAGGTCCGGGAATATTTAGCTTCTTAAAATAGCGAAGAGGATGAATGAAATAATAGTGAAAAAGTAAAGTTAAAATTAACACTGCAGCTACCCAGGCAATTTGTTGTGGAGTAATATTAGCAAAAGTCCACATAGCTGAAAAGAATAATATTAGCACGTCTATGATTACCTTTAAAACTAAGTGATAAAAGGTAAGCTCTAGGCTACTACATCGAAAAAGTGCTTTAGTAAACAATGTTTCGTCGCAATAAAATGGCTACCGTTATATATTAAGTAAAGACTAATTATGAGCAGAGAATTTAGTCAGAGTCTGTGCGTCCACTGGTCTGTATTCACTGCCAAGGTCATAGAGTGTTTGCAGGCTAGACAATATGGAAACTGGACTAGATATAGCTAGGGACTACTCTAAAAATTTGCAATTTTCTATAGTATTTACTAGCCAACTTGGGTCTGTTCTGGCATCCTGCAGTTTTATTGTATTATTATGGATAAATTGACTTTAAATAAACTCTATCTCTTATGTATCCTACCTATATAAATGCTTAGTTATAGTGAATACAACTATATCCTTTTATAATATTCAGTTCTACTGCTTTATTGCGCACGAAATTAATGTTTAATAACGAGAAAAATTAAGACTATTGAGGTGAGTAATCTTATCTAAAACTATCGACTTGCCTTATCTTAGAAGCTCCTAGATTACACAATGTGATATGTCACGTACACACCACACATAATTACGCCAATATATTCCTGAAATAAAATTTCAATATCAGAACTCGATACATCAAGAAATTGATTATATCATAAGACATGATTTGTCAGCCTATCATGTCATATAATCAACTATTGATTAACAGTAATACAGTGTATTTGACCTTGATTCCGTAGAGATTTGTTTACGAATTGCGTCATGGCGTCATTGGTAAATAAATCTAAACGGAATCAATGTCAAATAGACTGTGTAGTAATATCTCAGGTAGATGGACAAAGATTGTAGAGATAGAGAAAAGATCTTTATTAAAGAAGCAGATATACCTAGCTAGCAGAGATCAATTTTAGCATTACGTAATGAAATTAATTATACTCAATTATAGAGGAAAATAGCTGTATCTTTTGTACAGTTTATTAGTTCCATCTACTTATGCTTTTAGAACAGACCTGTCTATAAAGATGAACGATTACCGGTACTTTACCAGTATATCTTATTTATTCTAGTATAGTAAACATTTGGATTTATAATTCATTCTTAACTATCATAACACACCTACAGAGGGACAGCTGCCATACAGTAAAAAGTGAAATCGAACTTTTCTTACTCTATACAGCCGCCTGTTTGCTATAATGTTCAGTATAAGCAGTAGGACTGTAACAGCATCTGCATTGGTCCACCTAAACTCCATCTTGAATTCATTGTCATAGCTACCGGTAAGCATTCTTTTAGCCAACTATAGTATCAATACACTCGTTGCATGCTTACCATATGATTGCATCATTAATAAAGTTATCATAGTTAGTTTCCAAGCATTTTTCTACAAAAGTATCCACACCCAAGATATCATGGTCGGGTTGATTGATATTTCTACCCAAACTGCAGCTATAGCTGGCGTTACAATTTTATCTTTAGCGTACGCATTTTATCAGTACTTCGTTCAGCCGCTTTATTATTTTCAGAAATTAAATATACCGGGCCCTAAGCCTTCATTATTTGTTGGCACTGCATTTAACAAAGAGACAGGCGGACATCTTGGACAAATACATTGCATTAAAAAATATGGTAAAGTTTATGGCGGTTTACTAGGTGTAAGGCCAATCATGGTTATAGCTGATCCAGAAATGCTTAAAGAGGTTTTGGTGAAACAATTCAGTAACTTCCCTAATAGATATGCTGTTATACCGCCTGCTCCGGAATTTAGTAGAAATCTTCTTGCTATCAAAGATGATGACTGGAAACGTATCAGAAACGTACTTATACCAACGTTCAGTGCTACAAAGTTAAAACAAATTGAACCGATTATAATCGACGCTTGCGATACTCTAGTAGGTAAAATAATTAAAGAAAATCGAGAAAATGGGAAAGTTAATATCTGGAAACTATGTGGCGAATACAGCATGGAAGTCATTATGGCGGCTGCATTCGGTGTACACGTTACTGATAAAGTTAGAGGACAAAAAATTTGTAAAGCCGCGGCTGCATTTTTTGGCGGATCTGATGTAGCTTTGTTAATAGCATCAGTTGTACCTTCATTGTATCCTTTTCTAAGCTTTCTAGCTAGAGAAAGGACTAATGCAGTAAATCATACCGTTCAAGTCGCTAGAGCTGTTATAGCCGAGAGAAGACGAAATTTACAAAATGGCCTAACTAATCGTCGAGATTTATTACAATTAATGATTGAAGCTGCAGAGAATGGAAAATTAACTGATGACGAGATTGTTAGCCAATCCTTCATATTTTTATTAGCCGGCTACGAAACAACGTCGAATGCGTTAGGCTATACGTCTTATCTACTAGCATTAAATCCACAAGCTCAGCAACGTTTAATAGACGAAATCGACGAGAAATGTCCTAAGGGTACAAATCCGACGATAGAGCTACTTTCCGAACTTCCTTATCTAGATATGGTTTTCAATGAATCGTTACGAATATATCCACCAGCGTATATCGTAAATAGAGCTACAAAGCATGAAACAGTTATTAAGGGAGTTAAGATACCTCAAGGCCTGATAGTAGCGATTCCAATATACGGTATTCATCATAATGATGAATTATGGCCAGATCCAGAAAAATTTATACCAGAACGATTTACACCCGAAGAGAAAGCTAAACGTCATCCATTCGCTTATCTTCCATTCGGTAACGGTCCAAGAAATTGTATCGGTATGAGATTAGCTATAACCGAAGCTAAGTTAGCTTTAATCAAAATATTACAAAATGTAGTACTTGAACCAGTAAAAGAGACTCCAATTCCTCTAGAAGTTGAACCAAAGTTAACATTATCTGTAGCAAACGGTGTAATAATAGGTGTAAAGGAACGTTAAAAATCATCTGATGTAATCACTTTAATTTTCTAATTCATCAATGCTGTACTCTCGTTTGAGTTTTCTACCTTTGCGTTTAACTACTTATAACATAATAATGTCACATTTTAAGTAGTAATTGTTGTATAAAGTGAGTGAAATTTATATCTCCAATTCGATATTTTTATACTTTATATTTATGATTACTAGTAGAATCCACACTCGTAATATTTCAGGTACTGCATCCACTTATACTTTTTACTTTACAATCTAGATATATCTGCATCCTGTTATTATTATAATTACATGCTAAAAGTTGCAGATCGATTGTATCAACTGTAAACCTATTCAAGGTTATACACAATATATCAATGCAATAATGCATGAATAAATTTGCGTGAAAGAAAATTTATAGTATAGTATAGTACTATACTATACAGTAGTAAGTATTAGTAATTCTTGTAATTGGTCGTAACGTATATATATCGATTATTCTGTATATAAACTATGTGAACTTATAGCACAGTATACATCGCATATAACAATACAATGTCGACCTTTAATTACTTACTACATACTTTTACGATTATAATAAAATCTATTCCAATTGTGGTTATCCTATCAATCGATTTCTACGCAATATGTGTGAAGGGAAACGAAGAGAAATGAAAAGAATTTCATGGTCGTAATTACTGTCTGTAAATCACGAGATTTATGTGGCATAAGATATGAATCAATTTATATCATCACTCTCTATTCAACAAAATCTCGCAATTAACCACACGTAAATAATAAATGATAACTGATCTAGATAGCAGATATTTTAATAAGATAGTGACTAAAATCGCTGTGCACGCTGGCTATATGGCAATTATAATTTTAAATGAATTGACGGCCATGATTTATGTACGTTACTTGGTACGAACATAATAAATATACTCGTACTTTAAAAATATTACTATTCTAGAAGGGCTTTCTAACTCTCATGGCTGTAGGTTATGCCATTCAATATTGCAATGAAGTAACTACAAGGCATCATTATATGCACAATTTTTTTTTAGCATACTGTATTAAATACGTAAAATACATAGGTTTCCATTACTATGAGGATCAGATTTTGACATCCTCAGTTTACTTGTATGGCCAAGAGTCCATGAAGCGTGGGTAAAGATAAAAGTACCTTAAAATATCTACCGAAAGAACAGTTCCAGTTACTCAATGCTGATTTAAAGTAAATACTGTCCTTTTGACAATAATATTTGACAGTGACTACAGTACGCTGAGGCATAATGTTATAAATTACATCATTGTGATATTTATTTAATGCTGTATACATGTGGTTGTATCTTCCAGCTATCAGTTCTATTCATTTACCATTTAGCATAGAGTATACATACATATCGAAGGGATCTTTGCAATACGATTAATGCTATACTTCAGTTGCTGAGTAAATCTTGTAAAATTAAATGGTAATATACAGTATATATGTTACTCTACATATACTTTGCAGGATTGATAATTTTGACGGCGATCAGTCAACTTTTTTGTAAAATAAAGCTCTTAGGACTGTACAGCATTTACGAGATACTATTGTAGACTTATGGAATCTGCATTACTAATAGTCAGAATACAACATCAACAAAGGGCAATAATTTTGACTATAAATAGTCAATTATATTATTGTTTAGAGCTAACAACGCAGGAAACAAAACACCAATTTATTTTATTTTATTTTACCGTACTGAACGATATATATTTGCACCTGTATAGTTAATGCAGTATCATACGAGTTATTGTGTAATCTGAGTCAGTACTTTACATATCATATACTGTATGCTACGGGCAAATACAAAGCTCAATATGCTATGTAACCTCTATTACCATCAAGGTATGCTATTTTTAACTTACCATTAATAACTACAAGTCTACTTGATAACTGTCCTATTATATTAAAAGCAAAGAGGAAAAGCTGGCGTTAGAGCTGGAAAATTGAGCTCAACTTGCAAAGCTTGTAATATCAATCGCAATCATTCGGATATTGTATTGGTCTATCGAATATTAACACTAGAGAGGTCTGTTTGACAGTAGTAAATGTTGCACTGAAGCTATAAAATGCAGTACGTATAATAATACAGTATTCTATGTTGTGATAATTTGGTAGCCCTCCTATTTGCTTGTTAAAACTATAACAGAAATATATCATCGAAGTACCTAAATACACCCTGCTGATTTTTGACAGCTAAAAGAGTAGAATTCATCTGCTATACTCGACTATTCAGCAATATATTTAAAAAATATTATTGTATTACGTTATCCAACTCTTATAAGAGCAAACATCGACAGCTAATATACGTGTATCATGCTTGAATTCATCGGCATTTCTACCCACACTGTAGCTATAGCTAGCATCACAATTTTATCTTTAATATTCGCATTCTATCAGTACTTCGTTCGACCGCTCTATTATTTCCAGAAATTAAATATACCAGGTCCTAAGCCTTCATTATTTTTTGGTACTGTATTTACTAAAGAATATGGTGGACATCTTGGACAAGTACGTTGCATTAAAAAATATGGTAAATTCTATAGTGGTTTACTTGGTTTAAAGCCAGTTGTTATTATATCTGACCCAGAAATGCTTAAAGAGGTTTTGGTGAAACAATTCAGTAACTTCTCTAATAGATTCGATGTTATACCATTTGATCCAGCAGTTAGTAGAAATCTTCTTGCTATCAAAGATGATGACTGGAAACGTATCAGAAGCGTACTTATACCAACGTTCAGTGCTACAAAGTTAAAACAAATTGAACCGATTATAATCGACGCTTGCGATACTCTAGTAGGTAAAATAATTAAAGAAAATCGAGAAAATGGGAAAGTTAATATCTGGAAACTATGTGGCGAATACAGCATGGAAGTCATTATGGCGGCTGCATTCGGTGTACATGTTGCTGATGATGCTAGAGGGCAAAAAGTTTGTAAAGCTGCGGCTATATTTTTTAGTAGTTCTGATATAGCTTTGTTAATAGCATCAGTTGTACCTTCTCTATATCATTTTTTAAGCTTTCTAACACGAAATAGAACTAATGCAGTAAATCATATCGTTCAAGTCGCTAGAGCTGTTATAGCCGAGAGAAGACGAAATTTACAAAATGGCCTAACTAATCGTCGAGATTTATTACAATTAATGATTGAAGCTGCAGAGAATGGAAAATTAACTGATGACGAGATTGTTAGCCAATCCTTCATATTTTTATTAGCCGGCTACGAAACAACGTCGAATGCGTTAGGCTATACGTCTTATCTACTAGCATTAAATCCACAAGTTCAGCAACGTTTAATAGACGAAATCGACGAGAAATGTCCTAAGGGTACAAATCTGACGATAGAGCTACTTTCCGAACTTCCTTATCTAGATATGGTTTTCAATGAATCGTTACGAATATATCCACCAGCGTATATCGTAAATAGAGTTACAAAGCATGAAACAGTTATTGACGAAGTTAAGATACCTCAAGATATGATGGTAGCAATTCCAATATATGGTATTCATCATAATGATGAATTATGGCCAGATCCAGAAAAATTTATACCAGAACGATTTACACCCGAAGAGAAAGCTAAACGTCATCCATTCGCTTATCTTCCATTCGGTAACGGTCCAAGAAATTGTATCGGTATGAGATTAGCTATAACCGAAGCTAAGTTAGCTTTAATCAAAATATTACAAAATATAGTACTTGAACCAGTAAAAGAGACTCCAATTCCTCTAGAAGTTGAACCGAAATTTACGTTATCTGTAGCAAACGGTGTAATAATAGGTGTAAAGGAACGTTAAAATCATCTGATGTAATCACTTTATTCTACTGATTTATCAATGCTACATTCTCGTTTGAGTTTTCCACTTTTCCGTTTAACTATTTAGAACATTATAATGTAACATTTTATTAAAGAACGTTTATTATTTAGAGAGAGTGACATTATAATCCTAACTGCGATATTTTCGCGCTTTATAATATAGATACTATCTGTATCTTGTTATTATTCCAATCATAACACTTATGATGTATTTTTGATTACATAGAAAAGTTATAGATCGACCGTATTAACTATAAACCTATTCCTAGCAATTTAGCATCCATCAATGCAAATAAGCATGAATTAAGAATGCTTTAAAGCAAATTTGATATTGCACTATGAACCATTAAGATCTTTCTATGAGCACTTGTTTTCATTGACCTACGTTTTGATGAACTATTAAGTAATACACAGCAATATACTTTGTAATCATTCTATGATTTCAAAGATTCATTCTGGCCATAAATCGTATGCATTTACAGTACGTAAATTCATTTTATTAATCATATCAGACTACCGTAAATTAGCCATTTCTCATAAGCTTGAAACGAATAATAATTACGTTGTAGCTTTGATAGCTAAAGGTAATCTTTTGATGTCTTCTTAACTAAATCATGTTATGGCGTAATTACTTTGCATATCTATAATGCTGAATGTGTTTGGACCTTGGATTGTATGTTGAGACGTTGCTAAGATTTAGTTTGTATTACGATACGATGGACTGCTACTAGTTGGATGATTAGTACTTTTTGATTCTTTTATAGCCTGCAGCTCTTTCATAACTGTTACACTGTCTTTTATTATGGCTGTGATACCTCTATGTATAGCATTTGGTAATGCCAACGATATACAGCATTTAGCAGTATTGTTATTAATAAATGATGTTAATATATGTCAACAGAGGTGATTACATCTGTATACGTTAATATGCTTTATATACTCTTACTTATATTTATATTCAGTTTACACATATTAGTAGGTAAGTGCGACTTGAATAGGAGATTTCTGGTATTTTCTCGTTACAATTTTTTCTACTTGTACTCATATGCATTAATTACTAGTAATAAAAGAATCATCTTGTGTAATTGAATTTATGAAATTTTCAGTATGCGTGTATGTAAGTACGTCTCTATTCTGTAAATTTAACAGAAACCATCATAGACTTTAAGATTTATACAAATTATAGGAAGTTATCGAGCAGTATAATTGAATTACTATTGTCTTATTTGCATACTCATAACATGCAATATGACATTTAAGTTGAGGTACTTTTGTATATACTTGCGACTAGAATAAATTTTTTTCTAATTGAGGTAGTCCAATCTATTGCATTCCAGTCAATATTGGTCAAGAGGAATGAAAAGAACTTTAAACCGGAATTATTTTATGCAAATAAGAAAATTTAATGTCATCTGATATAAATCCATTATGTCATGACTTAATAACATTCGGTAAAGTCTCGTGATTTAACATAAACAGTAAATTCAATTGATAACTAAAATCTTGTTTTTAGTAATGATCATATGGCAGTCACGTATAATTTAAAGACGTAACTACTCGTTCTGGCTAATAAGATCCCTAAATAAATCGATAGCAATATTGTACTCTATATGATATGGGTATAGCTATTTTCTAAAAAAATAGAACGACCCTGGAAGTGCTTTCTTACTTCCATGACTATAAGTTTTGTTGCGAAATGATATTTTCGTTGTAGTTTCTGGATAGTGCAATATTGTAAGTTTACCTCGACGTTAATCGATTCTGTTGGTGACACTATCAAGATAGTAACCTAAACATTTAATGTTGAGTATTCTAGTGAGTGAACAATTTCGATTACCAACTCTCGGTTTACAGTAAATCCAATCGGTTTGGCAATGACATTTGACATTGGCTATATTGCGCTATGTTCTTATGAATTACGTCATTGCAATATGCCATATAAATACTATATCATTGGCCATCATACTCTTTATCCGGATATCCATTCCATCCACTTACCATTTAGTTTCAATGACTACAGTTTACTGTCCGCAATTGACATCCGAGCTAGCTGGTAGGTTGGTTTTGTGCAGTATGGTATATGTTTTCATTCATACCTTATAGTAGAATGACCGGATAAATGATCAGCTTCGCAATTATTTTGCATTGATAGCCGTTAGCTATCCCGTAGGTTTCTTTTTTAGTAGTTCCTAGCTATTACTCCTGCTATTACGGCATACTGTATACTTCTGGTAAAATTTGAATGTAATCTTGGTAGGCAACATCATCGATGAAGTCATAATATTTGCTGTAAATACAGTACTTCAAGAATTTAAAGTTCAGTTTATTATTATGACTCGTATTGATACACCTAATAAGACAGTAAATATAACACAATTTACAGTAATATGTTATTTATTCGATGACCTTGAGTGAGAGAAAAGCTCTTACCTCCCACCGGCATGGGTACAGTACACCATGCACTTTAACAATGTAATATTCAGTCTTGTGACCATCATTAATGATCACAGACAGACATACTGTAGCCATAGCGTAAAGGAAAAGCGGTGAACAGATGCTGACCTTGACCAAGTACTATTGAGTTGAATTCGGAAAGCTATAAATATTGATTGCTTAGAAGTTGAACTTGTTAGTCTGCCCAACACTTATATTAAGGAGATCCATTTCTGATTGCAAGCTCTGAAGTTGTGCTACACAGTAGAACGGTGCATCTTGGCTGAATTGTGATACTCGACGGTTGGCTCTCCAATTGAATTGCCATCACTGTACATGTAGGTACAGTAAATAGAGATAGAATTGATCCAGTTACCTACGCTAGGAATTTCAATCCAGTAATTACCTCGAAGTCATCAATCGATTTGACCTATTCGTGAGATCTTGTACTTGTTTCATTGCACCCAGTTCTTATAAAAGCAAGCATCAACATCCAATCTAATCATGCTTGAATTTACTAGCCTTCCTATTCAGATTACAGCTGTAGTAGGCGTCGCAATTTTATATTTAGCATTTGCATTCTATCAATACTTCGTTCGACCACTTTCTTATTTCCAGAAGTTAAATATACCTGGACCTAAGCCTTCATTATTTGTTGGTACTGCATTTAGCCAAGAATATGGTGGACATCTTGGCCAAATAAATTGTATTAAAAAATATGGTAAAGTCTATGGTGCTTTTCTTGGTGTAAAACCTGTTATAGTATTAACAGATCCAGAAATGATTAAAGAGCTTATGGTAAAACAATTTAGCAACTTCCCCAACAGATATGATGTCATACCACCTCCTGCAGCAGTTAACAGAAATATTCTGGTTATCAGAGACGATGATTGGAAACGTATCAGAAATATACTTATACCAACATTTAGTGCTGCAAAGTTAAGACAAATTGAACCTATTATGATCGATGCTTGTGATACTCTAGTAGATAAAATAATTAAAGGAAATGGACAAAATGGAAAAGTCGATATGTGGAGATTATCTGGCGAATACAGTATGGAAGTTATCATGGCGGCTGCATTCGGCGTACATATCACTGATGATGTTAGAGGGCAAAAAATCCGACAAGCTGCGGCCACATTTTTCGGCGGTTCAGGTATAGCCTTGATAATAGCATCAATTATACCTGCATTATATCCTTATGTAAGCTTTCTAGAAAGAGAAAGAACCGATGCAGTAAATCATATCGTTCAAGTCGCCAAAGGTGTTATAGCTGAGAGAAGACGAAATTTACAAAATGGTCTAACTAATCGTCGAGATTTATTACAATTAATGATTGAAGCTGCAGAGAATGGAAAATTGACTGACGATGAGATTGTTAGCCAGTCTTTCATATTTTTATTAGGTGGATACGAAACAACAGCGAATGCAATAGCCTACACATCTTACCTACTAGCATGCAATCCAGATGTTCAACAACGTTTAATAGACGAAATCGACGAGAAATGTCCTAAGGGTACAACTCCGACTTCAGAGATAATTTCCGAGCTTCCTTATCTAGATATGGTTTTCAATGAATCGTTACGAATATATCCACCAGCGTTTATTGTAAATAGAGTTGCGAAACATGACGCAGTTATTGACGGAGTGAAGATACCCCAAGATATGATGGTGGCAATTCCAATATACGGTATTCATCACAATGATGAATTATGGCCAGATCCAGAAAAATTTATACCAGAACGATTTACACCCGAAGAGAAAGCTAAACGTCATTCATTCGCTCATATTCCATTCGGTAATGGTCCTAGAAGCTGTGTCGGTATGAGATTAGCTGTAACGGAAGCTAAGTTAGCCTTAATCAAAATTTTGCAAAATCTGATACTTGAACCAGTGAAGGATACTCAAATTCCTCTGGTTGTTGAACCGAAATTAACCTTAGCTCCATCTAAAGGTGTGATAATAGGGGCCAGAGAACGGTGAAGTCGCTATCTTAATATCTCTTTATTCACCTCGAACTATCAATACCATACAAATTCTTATTAGAATTTAATATCTACATATGTTAGATTAGACTTATAAATTGTAACGCCATATTGTATTCCAATATTCTTACACAGTAGTAGTAATGCTATTAAGGAAGTAACTTTATGTCCACTTTGATAATAACTGCAACTTATAATTACGAATACATTTGAAAGCATGCTACTATGCTAACTGTGCACCTTTGGATAACTGATTATATCTAATGATTTGTAAATCAAACCAAGCTAATCTCAAACCTTTTATCGCTATTTAAATCTATCGATGCAACTATATATGTATAAATAGGCATGCAAAGGGAAATTTAATTATATAGTTATGTAGTATTAAGATCTTTATGATGATTAGTAACCTTATGATATGGATTTCTAAAGATTTTCGTAACCTTACAGTATACGCACGCAAACATAAATGCTCAATATATTCGAAATACAATTACTGTATGAGCGCCATCATATTCATTTTAGTACTCATACATGTATATTTTTATATTGGTCATCTCCACTAATCTTATAGCAGACGAGACTCGCTTTAATCTGAAAAGCTATCTTCTGAAGTTTTAGCTAGCATGTCGCATTTTTTACGCATAATATAATTAGTAACTTTTTTGTTTATCTGTAGATCTTAATTGCGATATTGACGTTATATAATGGAAAATGCTTCTGCGTTTTTAAATACACTTATTTATGGACTAATGTATGCTTAGTAATTACAAATTATCCCACTAGATAATAAGAATTTAAACTTTAGCTGTTGTGTCTGGACGTTATGAAGGTAAATGATAGATTATTATCTGTCTCTTTTAATGTTTTTCCGTTACAACATAAGATTAATATTGCGGAATAAATCGCATTAAAGACCTCAAATACCTACTAATGTAGCAACTAGCTATTCCTTTTCTGATATGCTGTCGCTATTATGCCATCTATGAATATGAATATTACGTCTAATGCATTCCAATAATGAATACATGTTTATTCATTTTTATGCAATAAAGGTATTTAAGTATTTGTCTGGATCGCTATTATTGGGGCAAAATAATTACCGTTATTGCATAGACACACTTGTCGATATGCGCCTGTCATAAAATAGTCTTTCATGGCCTACTTACTTGACAAATAGCGAATTATATTATAAGTAGATCGAAAGACAAATTATAATGAGAAAAATTTTATCAGTGTTGTTAAAATTTCATAATTTACAAAAATACTTCGGATTAACAGCTTTTGAGCTCTAATTGAATATCAAGTAAATATTCATTTTTATTATTTATACTTTGGCGAAACAACTGTGTGTGTTGCCAAGCAACATCGCCTTTTCCTCCGCTCAAAAACGCCGTTAGAGTAACTTCTTGGCAATCATGTACTTCTGGACATTCAATTACTTCTTTTCCTTCATTAAAATAAGAAAGTTGATGGTACCTTGAATCTATTTCTGGATACTCGATTTAGTTCAACTTATTTAGTTATGCTTACCTCCTGCCCACGACTTTTGTACTCCGTTTTCTCCTTTAATTGTCCATATCACTTGACCGTCTTCGTAAATTGCCGTAGAAGCAAATACAGAGATGGACTTCACTGCAAGACTAGCTTTCGATAAATCGATCTTCCAAGTTAATGATGCAGAATTGGTTCCTTCAATTCTAGCTAAGTAGACCTTTGGATAGCGAAGATAGAAAGAGAAAGCATGAATCTATCCTATCTTTAGTATTAAATTACGAAATTCATATGAACTATATTATTTAATAAATCAGATATAAATACATACCATCTTCCAATCGTGTTCAACTTTACGAAATAGAGAATTGGCTTCGTAAGTATAATTATCCCATCCACTGAGTTCATCTACTTTATCGTGTACATCGTCATTTGAATGTACGTAGACGTCGGTTGAAGGGCAATATCTCAATCGAAATCTGAAAAGATTAACTATACGGTAATTATGGGAGTTCTATTTCGTGTAGATACATCTCGTTTACGATAAACGTTGATACCGTAACTCACTTTTTATCAGATATGTCTTTTTCATTGGGCTCAAAAACAAAAGATTGACTTCTAGATGACGCATTTTTCGTTTCACCACGTGATTGCCTCCATGCTAGAGATCCAGATACCCTTCCACCGTAACCTTGCCCATCGGTCTGTTTTGGTGCAAGGAATTCCAAAATTTCAGCAAAGGATCGCAGTTGCAGCAACTGAACCCTTTCTGTAGGTTTATCTGACTGTAACTAAGTATAATGGAGCAAATGAATGATTAAAAATAGCACGAAATAACAAGGCTATTAGTTAAACTGTTTAAACATTTAATAAATCTATCTTTTATCAAATTTTTACCTTCCGATTAAATGAATTTATTGCTTGTGTTAACCAGGTTTCGCGACATTCCTGACGTCTTTGGCGAACTTCTTCCGATTTTGCGGTATAGCGCCACGTGACATCGACAACCTGCAGGGATTCAAAGATATTTTATGGCAGAAATGGTGATGGATGAACACTCGTGTACATAATAAACAAATTCATATCGAAAAGTGCATAGCACACATTTTCAACCTGCTCAGACGAAAAAGCAATGACATATGTTAATTTCTTCCCCCAACCAATTTCGTAGAGTAATGGTTTATCGCATGCATCTTCGCAAGGATCGCAATGTAGCCATCGTTGTTGACGATTAGAGAAGACCTCAGTCCAAACATGGTCTGTCCAATCAATTACAAGTCGCGCCTCAAATCCCATAGCTCGACAGCATAGTGTGAAGCAATTAGCCCATTCTCCACATCTTCCTTCACGGGTATCAAGCAATTTACTGGGGTGATTAAATCGTGGAAACCTTGTTATTAATCCACATATTGTGCATTTATAGGCTTCAACTCGTGATGCACCCCATTTTAAGTCGTCAGTAGTAGGAGGAGCATTTCCTATATTTGACGTCTGACCACCACAGGAGTTGCAAGGCGGCTGGTCAACCCATGAGAAGAAATTATTTTTAAACCAATGTAACAACTCTAAAAGTAAGTAGTCCATTATGATTTGGTCAGATTGATCTGGTCCGGCGGCGCCATCAATTTCCCGCTCCGAGAGTTTGATTGCTTTGGATCTAAGATCATCGACAGGGATTACAGAAAGTGCTTTCGCTTGAGAATCTTTCTGTTCGTAAACCATTACTTGTTGAGACCATGTTTCTAACTTTGCATAAAAAGCTTCTTCTGATCTAGCCTTAAAATAACATTTATAGATACCATGGTATTATTCAATAGCGTTTCAATTTGTTCGAGATATACATCGCATAACATTCAATAATGTATAATCAGAAATTCTTACTATCATTACGAGTTGTATACGCAGTAGATACAAAATTAAGACAAGTTTGAAGCACAGTACGAGTATTCATGTGCATGTACATGATCATTGGAAGGGGAAAGTAATATTCAAATTGATGCTATCTTACAAGCTGTGATGTCAGTTGTTCACGTGGCGGTGCTTGTTGAGATGCTTGATTTAAGTTACTTGGAGTAAGAGCTGGTGTTGCTACTAGTGGCGGTAATTGTAGATTTCTTCGAGTTCTTTCATTTATTAGCGATTGATGAATATCCGTTAAATCATGTAGCGGATATTGCAATGGTAGAATGTAATTGCCATCTTCCTATGTAGGAGAATGCAAGGAAAAAAGTTTATCAACAAAATTTAGAATGCAGGTAGGATTCAATTTCAGACAAGACAGTTTGTACCAAAGAAGCAAGGCTTACGAAATGTCTATTGAGTTCTATCCGTCTATACTGTATGTATGAATTAAAGCTAAGTATTTCTATGTCTCGATTTTCTTACACTATGTTATTAAGAAAGATGTATGTGGGACTGTCGATAGCACGTATGACTAACGATAACTATATTTTGTTATGGATCACTCGATCTCTAACGCTATCATTTCATTCAATTCCCGTCTACTGTGCTGTACTGTAGATCAACACAAATACGAGTATTGATATCGGTATCTTTACAATCTACATGTTGCTATTTTGTGATAAAGAAAGACGTTATTGGCCATCAATTACACTTGGAAAGACACAGTTATCCTTCGTATTATTCATAGTAACCCTCTACATCCGTAGTAAACACGTCTATACGAGTATTTACAATATTTTATAATATGCTCGTATTTACTTATGATGATGATTATACTACAGTACTGTCCAGTAGATCGCTTGAACAATACTCCAGTATGCGGTACTGTACTTTGTATTTGCCATCATTATAACTGGGAAAGGAACACTTGCCTTCGTGGATTATTGATTGTACTCAATATAACATCATACATATACATATAAGAGTTTAGAATATTATTAGTTGCTCATGATGAGCGAATGATGACTACCTGTCGAAATCCCATCGCCAGAAGGCATTCAATAGCGCCATCAGCAGGTAAAATTCGATTCTTAAAGATATCATTGGTAGTTTTAATCTTGCGAAACTTGATAATCTCTGGCTCTTTTAATATGTTACTAGTATAACGAAGTATAGCATATGAAGCATCATCGAAAACTTTCCCGCTATTTTTCTCTATCAATCGAATTACTGTAGCGTGCACCATCTTGTCTAGTAGAAGTTGGGAAGTTTGGAGTTTACGTTAATGCAGAACGATTTGCGATTTTACTTGGAGTTCCAAAGCTGCAGAAAATAATTTCCCTTTGAATGGGTTGAATTTACAGTTCTACTGTACTCTGCGCAGTACTGACTCAGCTGGCACTATAGTATAGAGCACTGTACTGAACAGTACGATACGGGGCTGTAGTGTACAGTACGTTCTACAGCTACAGACAGTGTACTGTACGGACAAGGCCAATGGCAATCTCAGATTCAAAAAATTTCTTTCCAATGGTGAACTTCTCGGAGCGAAATTTAACCAGCATAAATAAAGAATTCTTGAAGGCTGGTAATTGATTATCTTAGAATTTACAGGAATACTGCCACACCAAGTCAAAAGTTTCAAAAATTTCTAATCAGGAATTTCTCATGACCAAACTTAGCCAGCGTAAATAAGAATTGTTGAAGGCTGGTGTTTACCTTACAGTAAATAATGCTGTCGAATTTGCACCAATACTGCCGCATGAAGCAAAAAGTGAGCATTGCTAACCCCAACATCTTGGTATGCCACTTCTCGTTCGTTATTAATTACCGCATTATTTCAGGAGCTTTAATGAATTAAATTACTGTATTGTACACTTGCACAAGATAATGTTTAGACGTACACGGATAAGCCCATGGACTTGTATGCTGTAACATGGACTACTAAATTACATTTTTAGGTGCATCTAGTAATCCATGTCTGTAGGCATTGCATTCTGGACCGAAGTAGTGCGGATTCTCGCTCGTTAGATATGTGCCGACTACGTGCAGTAGTGGATTTTCAGAGGAGGAAGCTGAAAACTATAAATTAACAACTCGGGAAGGGATCTCTTACTAAAAGACAGATATCATACGTTCAATGTACTTATACCATAGTACAGCATGAGATCGAAATCACCTTGAAAGATATAGTAACTTGCACCTTATCGCTAAACAAATAAACCTTGCTCAAGATGGTACTTCTAAGGCGCATCAGCGCGATCAAAATCGCTTATTCCTTGTAGCTTTCTTTATCAGTGAATTTTGAGAACGCTATTAAGTAACTTGAATTACAATACTGCACAGGGTTTAAACGGGAAAGTATTTATGAAAATGATTGATGGTAATTACAATTCTGTGGCCATCATCGATTGGAGCTGATTCGACTCTATAACTTCACTAGTTAGAATTAAATTCAAGCATTTAACAGGCATGCTTTGCTTACAACTATTGTAAAATTGACATCTAGCTAATTACACTACTGTAGGATACCTGAATGTATGTTGAAAATCTCATTTCGTGGTCCAGTTGTGGACATTAAATTAAACCAATGATCATTGGTGATGGAAAGCAGGTGCAATATACCATAATACGCAAAATTTGCATACAAGTTTTTCGATTTTATCGAGCCTTCTTGTGCTATATTATAATAATATTTGTTTACGTATCATTAATTCATCTGTAGTACAAAGACAGGGAGCTTCTTCCCTTGGGACTACAGGCTGGCTCAATCTGTACCACTCTTACAACAACTCTCACTACTTGACATGTAGATTCTAAACTTCTAGCCGAACATTTGTAAAAGGCTTGTTTAGAATATAAAATAATCCGCACAGCATATAAACAGAGCAACAATCAATAGATCGTTTTCGTCGCAGTTTTCATCATCTACGATCACTACCTTAACTATGCTGTAGATGTGGTATGGTAATAAAGTTAGTACTTTGATTTTGGTGCTCTTTGGTTAATAGCCTGCGAATAAACCCTGCACAAGAATCCGTAAATTTAAAACGTCATCTATGGGTCCGAATCAATTGAGGTTGACACTTTTGTCAATGAATTATCTACGTTATGTATTTTTAGTCAAATTTCATGAATTAAAACTACTGTATAATATTGAGCTAGTTGAAATAAATTGCACCTATCACACTTATTGTAAGTTATGTATTCTAAATATCCATGATCAAGTATTGCAAAAAAACATTCAACTGTAACGTCGTCATATCGTGCATACAGTTTGTGCACTGTTTTGCATATTACTTTCATGCATTTCAAATTTTTTGTATGAGACTATGAGGCATCAAACCAATTGTAGATAACTATTACAGATTATATTTTGTAGTAGTATTAAACAGTAAAAGTATTATTTTTGATGAATGATAACATATCAGAGGGGGATAATTAGAATCACAGGCTCGCCCAAACTCTTTGATAATATCACGATAGCATACAAAGGCACTACAATAGCTACGCGCTATGTATTCGTCACAGCAGATACTTAATTGCAAATAACGTCTTATTATTTATGCAGCGCCATACGGCATAACGGTCAAAGTGAGTCAATTTACCGTTAAATAAAACTGTCAATAAGGATACTGCTGTACTACAACGTTATAGACAGACATATTTATATAGGTCGTTATAGATATATGTGCATTCATAAATAATCGCCAGTACAGTAGCGAACTAAAATTTGGAACTTAATCTGAAGCCATAGACTTCAATGGTTTAAATATACTCACATCATTATTGCTTATAGCACACAAACTGTCATAAATAATCAATATAGTGGCTTGTGATAGCGAGATACTCTTCGCGTTAGTAGATTTCAGCTAAAAGTAATGAAAAGCTTTCCAAGTAATAATTTTTATCTCGAATTTGCTCCTAGACATATCATGAAGTTACATAGCTACAATCAAATTATACTTGTATAGCTGATACGGACTTCAATCTACACTATCGAAATATTCTTACCTACTGTAATAAGTGAATTTAACAACAACAATATAGTACTACGGTACTTGGCATATACCTATTGGGCATCTTATCAAATAATTTACAGAAAAAATTGGCTAAGAATCGTAGAATCGTAAAATCTTTCGTGATAATTAAGCAAACTTTAATAACAAGAAAGAATATTACTGTGCATGATGGAGACCAAATCAAGCAAGACTGAAGTAAAAACTGATGACACATCTCCTATTTCAGTACGGCAAACAAGCCTCCCTGACAAAGATAAACGGATACGTTTCAGGAGCGAAGACAAGGTTAACCTAATTAGATCTTATTTTTACGAACTCTTCGACTATTGTATGAGTATACTACCTATACAGTTGTTACATGAATCACCTTTTAACTTAATCCGTCATTTAACGCCCTTATAACTTAGTTGAACTATTGTGCTGTAAACAGAATACTCATACAAATGCGTACGATACTCAAAGTTTTGTCATATAAATACCTTGAATGAATTACGCTCATCAAAAAAAGATTATCCACTACAACTCCTCTGATTCCTTCCAAAATATATGATTGAGCACAGATAATGCGATACTAAATTTTAATTTTATACCCTATTTACAGTTCAAGAAGGCATTAGTATCTAACCGAAACATGTTAATGTATAAACTATCGGTCTTATATAGAGTAGTTTAAATACTATACTATGTTGCATTATTAAATAAGCGTCTGTTGACTATGCAATATAGTACTGCAGTTGTCAGGTCGGTTATCATTTTGTCTTATATATTTTTGTAGCATCCCAATATCATTGCTCGATACCGTAAGCTATGATGACACAATTAGACAGTTCTGTGCTTTGAGTAAGAGATAATCGCTCGAAAGGAATGAATGTGAATTCCTATCAAATGTGAGAAGGAGTCAATAACATATTTGAAATACGAAAAATAGAATGCAAATATGATAGCTATAAAATTCTGTCTTTAGTGGTAGGGAAGTTGTCTCATTTACGTATTACGAATATATTATGACTTTGTCATGTATGGTAATAATTGAAAGTTGTCCAAGTGAATGCATAACTGCACTTTGATCCAGGTTCCACAGCAATATTATCAGTCACTATATCTATTCGTACATTGCTTTACATATACGTATAACTGCACAATTCCTAAAGATAATTTGATCAATCTTTTTGATTCATATACGCCTATTGAATATGAGCTACAACAAGTCCTGATAATACTTGTACGTATTCAGAAATTTAAATAGCTTATAAATTAATAAGAATTGGTGCATATCAGATCATATTAATTATCCACTTTTATATTTTTTGTAGTAGCCTCTACCTTGTGTGCCTCGCTCTGAAAAATTCATTGACGATCAGTATAGTAAAGAGATAATAAAAACTACCAAAACCCGTAAAATTCCACGGTATACTGTACTAACAACGTGATGCACGTACGTGCTATCGTAATAATATGATTTGAAGTGATCATTCTTACGAATTGCTGTAATATCACAAATATACGAATATTGTAGTAACAGCATGATTCATGATCTTGTGAAGAAACTAATTAATTATAAATACGAGTCGTACTTGTCATACCTTTATCATATTTTACAATGTCTTCAGAAATACAGTCATATTATAGAATACTATATTTTTCACTAAAACTTGCCAATTTATAAATATATGACTGTATAACACAATATTTTCAGGTTGCAGAAAGGTAATCTTCCACTTTGTGGTGCTCCACGCTGATAAAGTTTGTCCCTATGTAATTTCAGCTTGACAATAATCATGCAGCACAGTATTTGTATATTGCCTGCAGTGAATTATTAAGCCTTGTATTAATGGGAATGTAAGATAGACTTACTGCACTACATGTATACGTCATATGTACAATATACTAGGATTAATAACTACTAGAAAGCGGAACTCTAAATATCCCTAGCACGATTGCAGTTCTTTAAAACATCTTCTATATAGGATCCCTTACGGAACGTATACGAATCGTTGCAACTTCAACTAAACCATTTATTTTAACTGTTTACTTAATTTCTAACATTTAGACAGATTTGTCGTTCATATTGTGTACGTAAAAAATACGTCTATTACTATTCTCGATTTTTTTACTGTATGTATCATAACCCTTCATCAAAGTTCTCATGTAGCTGCAATGTGTAGGTATAGTTATAATCTATCACAAGATACAATTCAAGTATGTCCTTGCGCTAAGCAAGAAA